GATGGACGGGGCCATGTTTGGCCGATAGCCTCCGTCCCTCAGCCAGGACACGGAACATGGGTCATGGATGGGTCTTCCAGCCCGACAATGACCATGAACATACGGCCAAAGCAACACAGAAAGAAGAAGCACATTCAGGAGATGGAGGGGCCGAGCCAGTCTCCGGACCTTAATCCCATAGAAAATCTGTGGAGGGAGCTGAAGCTTCGAGATGCCAAGCATCAGCCTCAAAACATTCAGGATTTGGAGAGGATCTTCAGAGAGGAGTGGACCACAACCCCTCCTGAAATGTTCAGCGTCTGACCTCTGTGCTGTCCAACAAGGGCTTCTCCATCAAGTACTAACACATGTTTTGCAAGGGGATCAAATACTTATTTTGATCTTTTATATAATGTATAAAACTCACAGTTCAAATAAACCTACCTTTAAAAATAAAGACTGTTGATTTCTTTGTAAGTGGGCAAACTTACAAAATCTGCAAGGGATCAAATACATATTTCCTCCACTGTACCTCACTCGTAAATGTCTGAAGCTTCAATTAGTCTTTTATGCATTGGTTGCTAAAAGTGACTAAATGAGAACTACTAAACATCATCACGCCGAACATTAGCAGCCTTTAGCTTAGCGGTGGTCATACATAGTCATGTGACCGTGATGTCGTTTTTTGGAGTCTTACGTTAGCTACTTACTTTTAGTGACAGCATTTATGCTTTTAAAATCATGAAGGGGTGTTAATATGTGGATATTATCCTGCTGGACAAAACATGTAAGTATCGTAAACGTGCCAGAGTTATAGTCTGTGATATTCCAAAAAGACTTCCAGGTCGGCCTACAAAATACGTCATCAATTCACCACTCAATGATAAATGAAAGGATGATATTTTTCATTTACTTCCATTCCAAGTTGTTTATGTTTGTTGCCTTTTTTGGATTTAGTATCACATTTTTGACTGTTAGTATGTGGACCCCAGGAAGGAAAGACAATTCTCATGCTTGTGCAAATGCGGATCCTAATAAAGAAATGTCTCTCCTCAGTACCTTCTCTGGACCTGCCGGGCGTAGTTGTTGGACGAGGCGGAGCAGGGGAACTGGACGGCCTGGCTGTGCAGCGTGGCGTTTCGGAACAGGTCGCAGAAATTCTCAAAGAGCTCCAGCAGCTGGTCGGAGGTGTTTTCAAAGACGGCCAGCACCTCTGTAGAAACCATATTGTACACCACGAAGAACGACGGCTGTGGGGGGGAGAGAAGAGAGGAGGAAATATGGAGTGAAAAGGTAGTAGTCAGAGAGCTGAGATTTTAAATAAAGAATATATTCATTAGATCCGTCTGTTACTATATGTGGTTTGTTGCCAAGCATATATCACAGCAGTGCAGAGAATCTCAAGAGGAAGGTGTCCATGGAGACCTGAAGGAGGAATCCCTGTCATGCAGCACAAACAACAGAAGACACGAGAAGCAGGGGAGAGTAACAAGGAGAACACAGGGAGGAATTCGTGTGTGTGTGTGTGTGTGTGTGTGTGTGTGTGTGTGTGTGTGTGTGTGTGTACCTGCGAAGGGTCGGTGACTCTGAGTGTGACCACGTCTTCGCTGGTGTATTTAATGAAGAGGTGATGCTCATCCAACAGCTGCATCTTCCACATCCTCAACCTCCTCAGCTGATCAAAAAACTGAAAGAATCTGAAGAAAGACCACAGAAACAGAGTATCTCACATTAGCATGTCATGGAGAGGTGCTTGATAGACTCAAACTGTGTAAATATGTTTGGTAGTAAAAGTCCAGGAATGTTTACCAGGTTATGACGAAGTAGCTGTTTTTTTTTTTTTTAACAGCCTCACAACCCTCTTTTTCACAGCTGTAGTTTCCTGAAGCTTACTGAATGTATTACTTTCACAGTGCCTGTGTAATGTAGTAAGTGTGCTCACTGACAGACTGTGGCACCTTATGCCAAATTATTCCCCCCAGAATATATATAAGAAAAGGAAAAGGGATCTTGTTAAGGTAAACAAAAAAACGTTAACTCCTGGATCCCTCTTTTATTTGATATACGTTTAAATAATTTGTCATTTGGATTGTCTATGTTGTAATTGTATTATTTTGTATTATCTCAAACAACGTCTATCGTCCTGGGAGAGGGTCCCCTCTGGCTTTTTTCAGTGTTAATTGTGGGTGTTTTTCCTTGTATGTTGTGAGGGTCTGAGGACAGCGGTTGTCATATGCAGTGCACATTGTAAAGCCAAATGTGTAATTTGTGATATCAGGATATATAAATACAATTTAGAATTATTTTATTTATTTTGCAGAGCCCTTAAATTGAACATCTTTTAATTTTAAATCAAGACTAACTAACATTTATTTTTTACTTTATAGAAAAGCAAGTAACCATCATTTTCTCAGTTGCAACCCTAAATGACACGACAAAACCATTTATTGATGAATCATAGATCGTACTGTTCGGGACTATACTAGTGGGGATGAGAGAACAAAGGAAGTAAAGGTCATTTGTTTTTATTTATTCACCAACGCAACAGAAAAGAAAAACAACAACCCAATGACCCTGTGTTGCGGTTTCCTTGTGTTTGAAAATTCTATTTTTTCCAATTACATTTTTTTATCCACGATAGTACTAAATTGACTAATTCTTCCAGTTATTGGGAACCGACAGAAATAAAGGAATGTGCAAAGGGAACCTTGTGTTCCATGAACGTTTGGGTCAGATGAATGAACCAATAAACAAGCTGGAGTGAAAGGTGACTTTACAAAGGTGCTGCAGCTCTGCTCTCCTCGGATAAACACTGCCAGAGAGTCAGCTCAGGAACAAAACAGAAGGATTTCCAAAAGAGAACTCAATAATAAACCTGTGGCCTCCACTGTACCGGAATGGGGAACATCCAACCTGTTTCCACTGCACCTCTGCACGTGTCAACCTACCTGGTAATAAACCTGTTTCTGATTCTGCCTATCATACACAAGATAATGTGTAGTACTCAAAACGTTACGCTAAGGCTGTGAGGTTTAACCTGTTTAAGCGGCAAAAGATAGATTGAATAAAGTAACGACTTTGAAAAGTGAGAGTTTACCTCCTCTTGGCAGTGGCGCTGCCGTCCTGCTCCGCCCTCCTCCACAGGTAGACCAGCAGCCTGTGCTTGAGGGAGTTGATGGTTTTGTCAGTGTAAAGGCGGGGGAAGCCCGGCTGACTCTCAGCCTGAGCCTCAGTGTAAACTGCTGAAAGAGTCAGGAGGTCGTCCTCGTAACAGAACCGCCCGATAGTCCTGACATCCAGGAATGTTCCCTCTGGAGTCACCTGGAAGGAAACGAGGGAAGAGAAAGAATGAAAAGCCTCCTATGACGCTCTAGCTTGAAATGGATTTGGAGCAGATTGACATTTGAATGTGTTCATCTGCTCACCTGGAACACGTGTATGGTCTGATGCTGGACCGACAGCACTGCCAGGATGTTCCTGTACAGGCAGAGGCCCTGG